TGTACAGCACGAATGAATGAACCAGATTCCTAGGGAAGGGGAATGAATTTATATGTTAAATCCCTGTCCTTTTTTGCTGGATTTTATACTGAACTTTACCATCAATATCCCTGTCCTTTATTGCTTGCTGGATTTTATACTGAACTTTACCATCAATAACGTGCTCGTGTTTATTTGAGATCTTGCTAGAATATGTTACCTTCGTTTTTGAATTTTGTTATGATTTTTGTCTGAGTGGAGATTTAGCTCATGAACGGTCAAGAGGTGACGTCTTTACCTCAACTTGCTTAGGTATCCAAATGGCAGCCCTATGCAGTCACCGATGGGCTCACCAATGGGTTCAAGTCTAATGCTGGATGAAAGAACTACACCAATGATGGAACTGAGCCCGCCAGGCATGCATGATCCATGCAGTGAGGTTAGCTTTACTAAAATAAAAGTTCTAGTGGAAGTTTTTTGTTTAATTCCAACTTTAAGGCTGGTAGCTTGCCGAATATCCATGGAATGCCACAACAGCCTCCACAGTTCTATCATCAAACCATAGGGCAACGCCATAGCACTGGCGGTGCACTGGTAGGCGCAACTCGCCTAACTCCAGCAACAGCACGAACACCCGAGAGTCAGTCAGCACCAACGTCTCCAGCTAACAATTTAGACCCATCACAGCATTTGCAGTGGCCAGGCACTCGGTAAGGACTGGTTTGTGGACAGCTTGTCTTTTCTATAAAACTTGAGCTGCTAATTTCAACTTTTGCAATCTTGTTGATCAAACTATATAATTTTTATCACTGTCCCTTTTCATGCATTCGCAATGAATGGCTAGAGTGGCGTCAAAGTAAATATGTCGTTTTGAATGAGTTTGTTTTCATAGTGCGTATTATTGGTGTCTCTTTCCTGAAGTGTACGCAAAACTTCTGAGCTTGAGGATAATGTATAGAATTTTTTTAAATTTTAGGACGTTCTCAAACTCACCGGAGTCATTAGACATACCACGGCTGGTGCTAACAAATCCTGAAGGAACGAATGGACCTCATTTGGAATGTTTCAACGATTTGGAACATCTAACACTTGATGCAAATGATATGCAAATTCTGTGTAATGGTTCAGGAAATGGTAATCCAGTGCAGCAAGTGAGTATTGGCAATGTTTTTCTGTCCATTTGTCCTTTAAGCTTATATAACATCCACTATTGTTGAAGCAACTAAATCTACGCAGTTAAATGAAACAAATGATTTATCTTTGCGGACATTAGCAAAATAGTGCATGCGGTGCAGTGGAAATAAGATAATGTGTGTTAAGTCAGAAGCTTTTCACTTTAGCACGGGCATTCTCAAAAAACAAAGAGAAGATTTCAAACCCTCTGAAACAAGTTGTTAGAATTGTTTTCTTTGAAAGTGAAATGAACCGCTGTTAAGTAGTTCCAAGTGGCAACTAGCTGCTTTGTGAACCTTTGGAATATATTGCTCAATATTCTACGGCGAGAAAACCAAATTGTACAGCAAGCTCTCTCATAAGACTTAGAACACTTTAAGGAAAGCTTAGTTAATACAGGTGAGTTGAGATCTCCAATTTTCTATGTTTAAACCCTTCCAACCTTCACCCACAATAGTTGTGCTGATTTGGAGGGAGCCAAAGTGACGTCATCATCGAGTTAGTGTGCAGCCAAAAGGCTTGCCTAAATAAAAGTGATATTATGTGTATCGCTAGGAAGTGTTTGTGTCGTT